TACAATACGTACAACAAGTATGGGGAGGGTGGAGAGAGAGAACATACTCACATATGTTTTTGCAGTATATTGTTATAATTATTCTATTATATTCTTAGTTATTGTTGCCAATCTCTTACTGTGCCTAATTCATAAATTAAACTTTATCACAGATATGTACATACAGGAAAAAAGAGTCATATTTATTACATTTAGTACTATCTGTAGTTTCAGGCATCCACTGGAGGTCTTGGAACATATTCCCCATGGATAAAGGGGCACTACCGTAGTGACAATCTCACAGAGTTCAATTGCTGCTGAGACTATGAGTCTTAGTTAACAGAGTGCAATATTAATACGGCACCTAGTGTAGTGGCTTGCATGGAATAATGGCCCTAAGTTGATAGCTCTGAACCTGGAGTTTCTGAGTGGTAGGCATTTATATTTTATTTAACAGACTACAAGTGATTCTGATGTATACCCAGAATGAAGAACCACTGTCCTACTATTCTATGGAAAGGTGATATCATACAGAATATATTAAGAAACGAGTGAGAGTTTACTATGATCTATAAATGCTTTCAATAAAACTTGTTTAAAAGTTTGGGCATATTAGGGTAATGTGGAGTATTCATTTTGGTAGAACACTTTATCCTCCCAAAGAAAGGATGGGACTAAATGACATACTACCAATAACCAATCTGCTCACAGGATAATTTCTGTTGAAACCATACAAATATTATAAGTGAACTGGAATACTTGATACAGAATGAAACAATGGCAAAAACTGAATGAAGTTAAAAGTTATGTGAAGAAAAACATCTCATTACTTAAACTAGAGTAGACTGTGGGCGCCAAGCCCCTCTATACAACAAAATCTCCCCAACAAAATATTTATACTCACCTTTCTGAAAAATCAGAGTCTATAAATTCTCTAGCCCGTTTTCTATCACTAAAAAGAAAAAATAGCATAAAAACAACACATACATAAATACAACTTTATTTCATAAATAATTTATTATAACTTGTCTAATTTTACATCGAATATATCCAAAGACAAAAAAACTAACAAATATAGAAGATATATACATAAAATAAAAACTGAATTTTATCATGGGACTGAGACATTCTAACATAATAATCATTGATTGAAATGAGCTCAATGAATATTTAAGGAGGAAAACATTGCAGATTTACAAACAAGAAGACAGAAAAGTTTTATTCACTTTGTAATTACTGACTATGAAAACACTAGACAATCCTGCCATCCCCAACATAAAGCACAGTTGGGGCTGAAAACATCCAAACACTGGACATCTCCAAAGCGGGCCGACACTTTGTTTTTACATTATCATCTTTCAAGGCCATGCAGAGACCCGAGGTAGCTTTTAGATCTACATGAGCATTGTCATAAGGATTGAAAAAAGGTTATGAAAGTACAGGTAATTCTGTCATTTCATCTCATTTGATAATGGAAAAGTATATATATGGAAAATGTCTTCAATGTATATATGTGTTTATCTATGCATGTATGTAGGTACATTAATATGTATATCCCTTAAAGCACTTTGCCAGGATTGTTATTCATTAATTTACTTAACATCCTTGAAGCAAAGAGAGTCTTAACCAACTAAGATTTACTATCTGCTTGCTAAAACTCACATATGATAGACTCTCCAGTGTAATATGCCACCATGTATATAACTTCTAAAAGTAACAAAACTTCTAAAGTGACAAAATGAGGTTTTGAGTCATTTATCTCAGTA